GGTAAGGATTCCGAGATCAAGACCCAATAACAATAAACAAGCTGTTATTGAGCAGGCATTCTTTATTGCAGCACTGGAGATTCCCCACCCTGAGTACTGCGACCCGTTAGTGAAACACCCCAACTAATATACATCGAAAACACGTGTATTCAGTTTTGCATCAATGAGTTCCCAGAATTCTTTTACATAGTAATTTTATTTCCTGGAATTGGCTATCTTTGTAATTATGCATGCTCGAGGGTCTCCTGTGGGGGTCTTTGTTGATTCTAGTCCTTTGTTGTCTTTGTCCTGTCTGTCCTCCTGGTCCTGTCTCCAGTCTCCTGCTGGTAGATTGCCCAGGTGAGTCAGTGTCAACATGTGGGTCATCTGTAGGTGCCACAGGTTCTTAGAAGACTTGATGTTATCACAACCTGCAGGATGCTTGGCATAATTGACTGTTAGTTTCACAAAGCACATAATTTAAAAAGTAATCCTTAGTATAACAAATTCTTTATTTTAGTAAACTTTTTATTATTAGGCTATATTTCTATTGAATTTACTAACGAGTATCCTATGACTATCAAAGGGTCACAGCACTTCCGCTGGCAACAGGAACACAACACCTGCAACAACAGCATCAGAAAAGTCTGAGAAAGCCACAAAGGCAAGAAGAGGCAGGACTGGGTTCCCCATTCCTTGGGGAACATCATCAGCAAGGAATTGTGGGTGGCCCTGAAGAGAGAGCTGTGTCCGGCCATGGCTGCTGACTGGCTCTGGCACCTTATTCCCATGGAAATGCCCTTGGAGAGCTGTGCATGGGCAGCAATGCCCAGCTGCCCTGTGCCAGGCAGCACAGGATTGGGAGCCCCGGGGAAGCTGCCATGGGATTCTTGCCAAGCCCTGCACTTCAGCACCATCCCTTGGCAGCCACTTGGACTGACCTAGCCCAGTGTTGAAGGCTGGGGAAGATGGGCAGTAGAGCCTGGTACACACCTGGGCCCCTTGACCTATGGGACCTTCCTTCTTCTTTGAATTCCCAGCTTTCTTCTGTCTTCCTCCTTTTTTTCTCTGGTTGCCATTCTCTCTCCTCTTCCCCAGCTCCTTCTCTCTTTCTCTTCTTCCTGTTTTCATTTTCCTGGTGCAAGCCTGCAGACCTTTCCATCCCACAGCGTGATTAGATAGGGAAAGCCAGGATCAACTGGAATCAGCTCTTAAGGTAACCAAAGCTGATTTGTGTTACCTTCTTTCCTCTGAGACGCTCTTGATTTCTTCTCCACATACCAGGGAGTCTGTCATGGTCTCTGGTGTGGTTGGAGAGAAAGCTCTGGGTGCCTAGAACAGAAAAGCCAGCATGAGCCAGGTGGCAAGGGCCACCTTGGAGCAGTAAGTGACTGGTTGCCAAATGGCTACCTGGTCTCTGCAGAGAGACAGGCTCCTGTTGGCTGGTTGGCATTAGCCTTCCTTTGGAACACAGTGTTCCCGTGAATGTGTGTGTGTGATACTCAGGTCATTTGTGGGGGCTGCTTCAGAGGGAGCTTATGGTCCCCCTCCTGGCAAGAAAAGGTTTGCCCACTTTGTTCTGCCAGGATTTCTTCTGCCCTCCCGAGACAGAGCACTGTGAAGACTGTAGGTATGTCCTTCACTTGAGCACATACCTAAGGCATGGGAGAAGCAACCATTCCAGTGTCACTGAGCATATCATTGCAGGGGCAGAAAAACGCCAAACAAAGCCACAAGAGATGAAATGCCAGGAAGAGGAAGAGCAGCTACTTAGGCTCATCAGGAACTCCCCTCCTACATGAGAACAGTTGTCCCAGTATTTGTGGACCTGACGTACCTCTCCCATGCTGGGCTCCACCATCATGTCTCCTCCTACTTCCTTGAGGACACTGAGCAGAGAGGGGGGTACAGGGCATGAGGCTTCTGCCTGATGGTCCATGTCTGCTTTGCCTGCAGGGACACATGGCATATCTAGAAAGAAGCAGCATGTGCAGCAAAGGGGCTTGCTGGCAGTAAAAAAACAGCTCCAGCAAAGCCCACCTGAAGTCCTACACCATTCCTCTTCAGTCCTCTGATGCCCTGTCTGCAGGCTTCAGCTCATCTTGCAGAGCAAAGCCTGCCTGCCCCATGAAGCAGTGGCCAGAGTGAGGCCACGGGACAATAGGGCTGAGAGGACAACACTGAAGGACCAGCCATGCCAGCAAGGACACTGAAGTTCTTGGTATCCTGAGCCACAGGCTGTGACAACCCTCAGTCCTCCCCTTACCGCTGGATCTCTCTGCGGCAGCTGGACCCTCCTCAGCTGCTGTACAGGAAAGGGCAGTCGTCTTCTCCTCAAAGATGTCTGTGAAGTTCTCAGTCAGGAACTCCACCAGCCCCTTCACCTGCACACACCAAAGCCTTCATCTCAAAAGCCTGAAAGGGACCAAGCAGCCTTTCCCGTTCCTGAGCCTTGTCTCTGCACAGAAGACTGTGGCTGTGAGGCTGCTCTTCCAGGCAGCAACCCAAACAACATTACTTTGCTCAAGGCAGGAGGCACCCACAGAGCACATTTTGAGCAGCCAAGCATACCTTCTCAGTGACCTCCAGCATGGCCTCCAATTGGAGCAGGTCCTCGTTGGGAGGGCTCAGCAAGTTTGGGCCAATGCAGACAGCCAGGCTGCTGTAGCTCATCTTGCTGGTGGCTGCATTTTGGCCAATGCACTGGAGGAGGGACAGCAGCTGCTTGAGGAGGAGGAGGTTGGCCCCAGGCAACTTGTTAATCACCCTGAGAGAAGAGGAAGACCTGGTTCATTAAGCAGAAGTTGTCCACAGCTGTCCGCCAGGTTGCCCAAGACAGGTGGGATCCAGTGGCAGTGGCACAGCTTCCCAGCTGCTCTCAGCCAGTGGTCAGGGCTCCTGCTCAGCAGGCAGGCTGCTGCCCACACTTACGCTTTCAGCCCTTCCATCTTTTTCTCCCTGTCAGTCATTTGCATTGCAGACATCCAGTCCTCATAGAGGTTGTTGATGAGGAGCTTGGAGGGGATGCTTCGGAGGAAGTCCTGCAAGGCCAAGGGCTCCAAGTGACCCTTGGAACACTCCAGCCCAGGCAGGAGCTCCTCCAGCTGCAGGCCAGAAGTGCTCACCTTCAGGACAACGGCCAACAGCATTGCAGGCTGGCTTGCCATGTCAATGTCCTCACCACGGTCCAGGGCCTCTCTCAGCTCCCGAAGTGCTGTCGCACTGGCTGCTTGGCGGAATATCCCCTCTGCTGTGGGCCCTTGCTGCTGCAGGACCGCCAGCAGCTCCTGCAGGACAGGCAGGAGGGCAGTGACTTGGCTGAGGAGCTGCCTTCCAGAAGTGGTGGCATGAGCACTGCCCTAGAGCTGGCTCATTGCTGGGGTTGGAGAGCCCCATCCCCAGAGCTCCTGAGGACATCCCCACCCCTACACAGCAAGCACAGGGAGCAATGGGGATCCCCTGTCTGGCTCACCTGGATGGCCCGGGGCAGCACACCCTCCTCCCCGCACAGCGCTGCCAGGGGCTGCCCAAAGAGCGCCCTGCTGCGGCCAGAGCCCACCTGCCCTGGCACCTGGGCAGGGGACAGGCTCTGCTGCAGAGCTAAGGGACAGGGCAACCCCCTCCTATTGCTGCTTCTGCTCCCTCCTGCTGCAAAGGAAAAGAGAGCAGGAGACCCTCAATGGAGACGGTGAGGCCAGTGCTCCCAGAGCCTGTCCTGCCTGCCGCACCGTGCTGAG